ACACCTAATATTACATGGGATTAACCCATTTTTGTTCTTTTGACATTTTTCTGTAGCATAGTGTTCCAAAACTGAAGGTCTTTATGTGCCTTTTTTGGACTAGATCATTGTCTGGATTTGTTTTCATCCTTACACACAACTTAATTCATACTGTTTCCCCCAGACAAGAATTTTGACTGAGTAACTGTCATTGAGCATACAGTACTGGCATACTTTGTTTCTTCTGTAAATTGGCATGTGGAAACATCCTCATTTTCTGATGCTGAAAGCCCTGAAGGGTAAAAGAATGTTCAGATTGACCTCACTGAACTTTCAATGAAGACATAAGCAAAATTTGTGCAGGCTTGTCTTCAGTATGGAAAAAAAATACATGTCCATCTTAGTTTGTAGCCACCTTTTTCACAAGCTAATCATTCTACACTGGTGGTGATATATGACTAATACTGATTTCAAAAGCAAAATAACTCTTAGTAGATGATTCACTGTGTCACAGAAAAATGCCTGAAATAGTCATTCGCTGTTACTCGTCGTCTTGTACAGTTTACAGAAATAATTAGTATTCCACTTGACAAACAAGTGAAAACATCCATTAGCTAAATGACACAACATATACTTTGACTGAGTCTACAAATTTCACTAGAACTCTATCAATAGTAACTACTGAACAGTCATAGGAGTACACATATTATAGTGTATTGTATAATTGCTCTGGTTAGGAGGCCACTGAGGTATTTGAAGAAAGAATATCACAGTAGGTTAGAGATTGGAAGGGACCTCAAAAGATCATCTAGTCCAAAAATATGGACGTCTTTGAATATGGATGTCTTTGAAATCAAAAGAGAAAAAAATGCTTGTATCTGTAAGCTACAGATACATAGAGTTGGTGGTATGAATTTGTTGATCTGCAATGAGTACTACCCCTACATCCATAAACAATTATCATCAAAAATGAAAGAGTGGAATAGAGGAAAAAAAAATGGGTTGTGATTGCTGTTCTGTAATAATGTTAACAAATTGTCAACTCTATACAAAATACAAAAGGAGCCTTTTTCCCATTCTATTCTGGGTGCAAAGGACAATTTGAATAATGACATCTAAAAACTGTGAGATTAGCCAACTAGCTGTAAATGTTTGATTTTTCTTTTCTTTTTTCATCTGAAAGCTGAGTTATAAGTTGGAATGCATCTACATATGTAACCACCATTTACAAGATTCTGTTGTAGAGATGTAACTGATGGGTTTGCTGATGATGCATAAGGCAGAATTAACTTGCTGTGGGTTTTCTGATAGCTATGGTAGAAGTTATTTTGAAAATACTTCTTTATGGACAGGAGCAAAGTTGATGAGGAAGAGCTCCTTTTATGTATTTATCATTTTAAGAAAATATTTTCTATTAATACGTCATTTTCTTGTAGCTAGTGTGCATAGTTCCCTCAAACTGATCTTTAAAGTAAATTTCTGTTGAAAGATGACAGTCAAATGGTAACAAATGCAATGCTGTTTTCTACATACTAGGGGAATAAGTAAGAATGTACTTAACACAGACATACCATTTTTTACTTTCCCTCCATTGTAAATAATCAGGACACCAGGAGGTCTGGTCAGGTTCTTCCCCAGGACCCTGGCTGTGCTGAGGCAATTGTAAGTGACTTGGACTGAACAGTTCCTCCACTTTTGAGAGAGCACAACTACAGTTATGACTAACCAGAGAGATGGCTGAGGCACGTTCCTGCTCACTGAACTTGCACCCATACAAAAATCAGATATAAATATCTTACAATATAAATACTCTTTTACTCTGTAAACATAAAAGCTTTCAGAAAAGATCCTATAATATACATTCTGCAGCAAAATTGTACTTTTAGAATTATCAGTGTAAGCATGTCACCTCCTGTATCCTTGTACATATCTGGCTATTTTGTACTCTACAGAACTACAGATTTCTGTTATTGCACAAGGAAGAACGTATCACTTTCACACCTCAGCAAAAATCTGCTTCTAAATATGTTAAAAATGTACCCAAAATTCTGAATAGTTGATTAAAGAACAAGGGGTAATGGCTTTAAATTGAAAGAGATTATGTATTTGGATTATATATTATGAAGTTCTTCACTGTGATTGAGATGAGACACTGAAGCAGGTTGCCCCGAGAAGCTGCGGATCCCTTTAAGTGTTCAAGGCCAGGCTGGACACGGTTTGGCTCAACCTGGTCTAGTGGAAGGTGTCCCTGCCCATAGCAAGGAACTAGATGATCTTTAAGGTCCCTTCCAAACCAAATCATTCTATGAACTAATCCCTGGAAAGTAGTTATGTTTCAGCATTTGTTTGGTTTTCTCATAGAAATGACCATGAAAAGACTTACAAAAGTTTTCAGTTTCACTTGAAGCAGTAAGAAAGCAATTTTGCTGCACTTTCTCAGTGCATCAGTCTAACTTAACTGGTGAAAAATGGAAGTAGGAGTTCTTCTGGGCTTCACACTTGAACTTCTTATAAAATGGTGTGATCCCCATACGAAGCTATGTGCCACCTCTTTCTATGTGTCTGATAAAAAAGCATGGTTTTGAACAGAACCCTGTGTTGTAAAGTTATATTGACTTTAGAAGTGCTGAGAAGCCAGTGTTCCTGTTGAAGCAGATGGTAAAACCAAGCCTGTCAACCCACAACTAAGAAGGGCTGTGGTGTTATAATTTAATCCGTACAGTTCCCAAAAGTCATGGGTCAGCAGGGAGGCATGGTGAGGACAGTGGTGCCAAAATCACACCATGAGCATGTCCCCACGGTATTGAACAAAGTAAGGGGAAAGCGATGCGGAACTGTAGGCACCTCTATTCAAGCTACTAATCTAGACTTATTAAATTTGCATTACTGAGTCTATGGTACTTCATGGGCCAGGACAGTATCTTTAAATGTAACCAAAACATGACTATGAAAACAGAACAATACTAGCTCAAAATTTTTTTGTCTTGTGCTCCATTGCACGTATGGATAAGCCTAGGGCTGGCTCACATATATGTCTGGGGGGAACAGACATGGTTACTGCTCACTGTTGCAGAAAATGTGAAAGATCAGCCTGATGAAAGCCACTCTTAAGTGGACAGATCCAGAAATGGACCTTGATTCTGTCAGCATGAAGAAACACATGTAAGCTCTAAATAATGTCTCTTAAAATGAAACGCTGTCTCAAATTCACCCTAGATGTAACATAATCAAAGACATTAAGCTAATTGATTTTCACTATTTATAGAGAATTTTTTAGACATTTTTAAAATATATTCTGTAATACTAAATCATACATAGATGTGCAAAAAAGTGTAAAAATGCCATTAAGTGTGATCATATAAGCAATAGCAATAGTTGCCTACACAGAACTCAAGTCTTAGGCAAGCCACAGATGTTTGAACAACTATTCTTAGTCATTCCAAAAGTACTTCATTTCCTTAGTTATTGCATTACTGGGTGTCTTCATCCTATTTAGCTTATTTTGCGGTCTAACAGGGTCAGTACTAGGTCAGTATATAATGATCTATAATGAGCTGCTATCCACAGCTGTTGAGACCAGACATAATTGCTGTAGGTGAGCTTGCCATTTTCTGCATGTTTTACTGTCAGTTATCAAAATGCCTGGTGGTGAGCATGATGTTCTGATCAGCTGCAGTTTCCATACTTTATTCAACCAGGGATCATCACAGCGAGTTCTTTGGAAAGACTCTTGTTAACCAGCTTACTGCAATGAGAACTGGATACATATTTTGTTCAGCAAAATACTGAGGTAGGTTAGTAAAAAAGGTGGAGGCATGTTTACTCAAGAGTGCTTTGTATTATAAAAAAACTTAAAAGTAAAAATTATAACTAGTTAAACATGTTCAAGAGCTAGATTGATAGATTTTTATGCATTCTGATTTAAGTATTTTAGTCCTATTTCATGTAAAATTTCCTTTTACAGGGACATAATGTTCAATAGGAATTTTAATTTCAGAAAAAATAGTTACTGTTTAGAAATGGGAGGATCTGTCATTATGCAGCTGTGTTGCCATAAGACAAAGGGTAAAATCGGACCATTTGTTTAGCCACTGGCTAGAACAAGCTCCTTTTCTTGAACAAAGGACAGAGAAGGAGAAGAATGGAAATGGCCATGTGTTATTTTACTTTCTTATTACTGGAAAGGTTAGGCATCACATAATAGTGGCTATCAGGAAAACAAGCTAGAGGAATAAAGTCAGGGAAAATCAAATCAGTTTCCAAAATGACAGACCAAACTTCATCAGTATGCTGACCCAAATTCATCCTGTCTGGCAAAATAAACACAGGTGACAACCTTTCCACACAGAATCATCTTTATTCACTGCCCCCTTGCGCACTGTCTTGTAACACATTCTTCATTAACCAAATATGTTTCTATTTAATGCCCTCAACAGATTTTTCTCCATACTCCCCAAACTCCTATAAATTTAAGTTTTCAAGGTCTTGCAGAAAAAAGTTCTTCGGAGTAACACAGTTTGGGTTTTGCACCTACCATCCACTACTTTCTAAAATCTAGATTATTAGCAGCTGTCACCTGTACTCTTTATGGGAACCTGACTTGGTCATCAGTGGTAAGGCTGAAATCTGTCATATTTTTCTCTGCCACACCAATCAAGGGAAGGTGACTTTAGTATGGGTACTTCCGGTGGTACTCTTCAAATTTGTGTGACTTTTCTGCTCAGACTGTGCTCTTGGTATGTATGTTAATTTTCCCCAATTCTTCTTTTTTCCTGTGTTTTTGCATCACCTCTATTTCCTTCCTTAGAGTGAGAATGATTCCCTTTCCCATTCATGCACATTCTGTTTCCAAACTCAGTGTATCAGGACCCCAATAGTACCAGGTGCTAGTTAACACTTTCACTGCAAGTATATTACTCTCTATTTCAGTGCATGGTTTCCACAATGCCTGTTTTATCACCATGTACTAAAGAAGAAAAGCCAATATATATAATAAAAACAAAGGGGTTTTAGCCACTTACCAAGTGAAGATAAGACATAGCAAGGTAGATATTAAAATAAGGACTTGGTTAAACATTGCAGACTGTGTACGTTGGATGGCTCTGTGAAGATCATTCTATATTAATGGGAAACAGATGTTAATTTGGGTTTTTAATTAATAAGGCATGAGCTGATTCTATAGAAGAATTATCTAGTGCCCTGATAAAATGCAGTCATTCAAATGCACTTGGAATTTGCTGATCATACAGAAGGGTGCAAAAGAGCCAGCTGTGATTCTGTGATCATTTAACTAGTTCTTTGTTCATCCTGGCACAATTCTGATACTATTCTAAGGTGCCTTAAGGTCTGTCTGCTCATGTCTAGCTTACAAATTACAGGCTGCAAGGACCAATTAAGGCATTGGGTTCCTTTCAATTGCGTATGAATGGAAGATAGCAAAAGAGCCAGCCATTCCAACTTTCCCTTATTGGCACAGTAACAATTTTTGCTAATTGACATTTCAACTGATGTCTTTTTTTTTTTTTTTAATTTTGATGCAGAAAGCAGCTTAGCAATACTTGCCCATTTGTATAATCTAAATACAGATCTGGTTGGCTTCCTATTAAAGTTGGACAATGGACTCTACTGCCAACGTCCCACTGAAGACAATTTACTAGAAAAGAAAACGGTTATTCTAAACCAGTTATTTCTTTTGTCATACTTACAATCATATTCTCTAAAGCATGCTTTGCCAGCCAACAATTTAAAAACACAGGAATAAACAGGTTTCTTAGTGCTGGCCAGAAAATCTGAAAGAAAAATTAACAAATTCATTAAAAGCTTTTCTATTCAAGAATAGTACTTTTCTATTTAAGCAGCAATGAAACACTTGGGGAAATACTACTAATGTGTTTTTACTCTGAGATATGGTTTTAAATACTATATTTTCTTCCTTTGTGATTAACTGTATTTAAGATAAACTGATAAAATGAGGACAGTTTTCAGAGATTCTTAGATTTTTACATCTATCTGCTTTATCTTATTGATTGTGCTACAGCTTGAGTTGGAGCATTTTGATTTTGTTTGTTCCCTGCTGGGGAGGATGAGGCAAGTGATTTGTATTATTACTTCATTCAAGAAGCAAACTGTCTTCTTGTTGACAACTTTCTGTTCCCACAGGCACAAATTTGTCATCCATGTAAGATTCAAATTTACTGCAATAAAAATTAAGGGCATTTGTGCAGCTACAACAGTGCAGTAAGAAAATGCATCCATTCAAATATGGTTACCGTGATGATGAAAGGGACAGCATTAATTATTTCCAGGAGAAAAGGTATTCTCAGAATTTGTTCCCAGATATTGCCCTTCAAAGAAAAGAAAAAAAAAAAAAAATAACCACCATGTCACAGTAGGCTTATATACAGTTCTGATGAGAAATATATGCAATATTTCAGTGCCACATATGGAGTCTTTCCCACTAGTTTTTTTTTAAACTAGAATTTCAGGAAGATCATTCATCTCAGATTTAAACACATATGTGAAATGTGAATATAGAACCACTCTGGCCTATTTTTTCTTACTGCTTATCATAATGTACCTCACAGGCAAAAATACATACTTTTAAATCTATATTTTCACTAGAGCAGTTCTCTGTTTCCATATGACCTTATATTTCCTTGCTATGACCTAGTTAGTAAGACAGCTCGAATGATGAATTCTAATTGCGTTAACTAGTCAACTCATTCTCTCAGCTAATGAAGAGCATCATTAAATTAAGTTTTCATTTCTTTTTCAGAGAATAACATGTTCGGATTTTCTTCTACTGCATTTTTAGGTACCTTGGAATTATACACATTTTGTTTCTACTTTTTCGTTCTTGAAAGTTTAGTTTACTTTGATTTTTACATGCACACTAACACACAGATAAGGAGGTGAGGTCTGTGTCCTAAAGAATTTATCCTCTTAATAATTCTCAATTTTCAGTGACTCTTCATAGAAGTAACAGACTACCCTGCTGGGTAGTCTTTAATCTACAACTATTTCTACTTCTTTTTCTTAGAAGCCTTTAAATCTTTAAAATCCTCCTTTGCAATGCTTTAGCTTTTGATCATGCCAAAGTTTTCCTTACCTTAAGGCTTATTGTCTTACAGTGTCTAAAAGCTAGAGATAAAGCCCTAGTACAGCACAAGAGCTGCAGAGACATATATCAAAAGGACATGCCCTGCTCAGAAGATTTTCCCATCAAATCTATTGTTTTGATTACCTCTGCGCACAGGTGACTACCCTGTAGTCCACACTCACATTTGATATGAATGATGACTCACTGTTTGTACAACCTTCTGATAGAACTTTGTGGCAAAATATAAAGCAAAAGAGGAATGCAAATACCTTGTATTTTTCAAAGGAAAATAAACAGCTTTTTTTCTCTTAATCTTGTTTCATTAGCCTCTGCATGTTAGTCACAGAGGTCTGGATATTTCTCTTTTTTAGTTCTAATCTGTTATTAAGATATTAACTTATTAAGAAATAAGTATTAAAAGGGGGAACGCAGTTAAGTTCAGGAAAGATAGCATTATACTACCGTGAGTCCTTCATTCCTCTGCATTTGTTTTCTTTTATGTTTAGTTTGTATTTTCTCTTTCCCAACTGTTTTGGAGAGAGAAGTAAGGAAGATAATCTGTGTTTAATATTTCAGTTAGGACTACCAGAACAAAGTTCTGTATTTCTGCCACAAACACGTCAGTACATTTGAGGGCTTTTTGGAACTTGATCTTGCTTACGTGAAATTAAGATGTCTTTCCACTTATTTCAATGAAAGTGGTACTGATCTTTTAATCTCCTTATTGCTAGTTACAAGATGTGGATAATACTACTTCTTTTCCACACCTGAGCAGTGACTGTGGATGATTAAACGTCGGGATGAAAATCCATACATTTTTTAAATCAGGCATTTAAAATTCAGTGACTTATGGCTTTTCTAACTCTGTATATCAAAACTTCATCATAGGTAATGCAATAACAACATAGTGCGTATAGAGGGATAATACAAGAATTTGCAGTACAGCATTATAATTTCAGTTGCAATAACATATTAATCTTTCCTGGTAAAACAGCTATCTGATATAATCACTGAAAGTTAAACACAAGCTCCATAGTATATAAAAGTCTTTTTCTATGTTTACTTTTTTACATCTAGAAGATGTAACTATAATTATAAAAGTGCAAGGATTACTGTCTTCCATGTAACTGTAATTGGGGAGAGTCAGACTGATTTGAATGTTAAATATTTTATGCGATAAGCAGCCCTGTAAACAGAAGTGAAATTATGAAACTGAGGTTTTATTTGCAGGAATAGTAAAATCAAAAGAAAATGTGATTTTCCCAACTGCCCCAATCTGTGTTTTCACTAATTTCTTCATTTTTACTTTTCTGCAATATAGAAATGTCACAGAATTTACTTGTGCAGGTTAAAAGCCTGTGTGAACGTGCACCAGGTACTTAGTGATCTGTCCAGCTGTAAAATCCTGGCTTCCACATAAAAATTCATTGTGTCTTCTGCAGAACTGCCTTTTGCAATGAGAATGTATGGTACTGATAAAAGCAGCTAAGACTGCCTGTGCACCAGAGATATAGTAGGATTGCCAGATGTCTGTCACAAATTTTGGCAATGGAAATTTCTAATGCAGACATCTTCCAGAATTTTGGCCAAGGGCAAACCCTCACATACATGGGTTAAACTGTGAGAATGCAGATTGTAAACCCTTTATTCTTGGATCCAAGTAATCAGCAGTGTAATACAGTGATACAGTTTTTGCATTCTTCCCCATACAAAAGCAATAAAAAATGCAAATTCACTGTATCCTAGTAGCATGACACACACTGTTATGTTCTTACTATTCTGCATGTTGAATCGTTCCTCATGTGTCCTCAACCAGGTATCAGAAAGGTAAATTCGTTGGAGTACTCTCTCAAATGACTGCTTTATTTATTTTACAGGTTGTTTTTGAAATCTTAGCAATGTGCATACAGATGCAAACACATTCATCTTTTTCTTGTTTTCTTTCTGGATTATTCTGACTTGTGCCTACACTGTAAAAGCTTTAGAAATGTTGGCATGAAATAAGTAATCTGTCGCAGATTGACATGAACCAACACTCTTTCAGTCATCCTGGCTTTACAGAAAGGCCTTACAGTGGGTGAAACATCAGCTGCTTTGTCTTCCAGAGACTTGTGTAAAACTGGGGTAAATGGCTCTATCATGACATTTCCAGATTCTAACTAAAAGGACAGGACCAGAAGGAAGGAGGTGTTTGCATCAGGTGGATTGCCAAAGTGCATTTCAGTACTATTATTCTTCCTTACATTACTCTTACTCCCTTATGGGGAGTGGAAATATAGCAATCATAAAATTGCCTCAATGACAGGTATATGAAGCAAGTCAGTGTAGTAGAGCTTTATACCCATGGCACACTAAGTAACTTCTTCTAGGGCCTGACTTCTCCATGTTTTTATCGTCTTCTGTACTCACTGAAATTGATGCAGACCACAAGCAGAATGGACAGAGATAAAATGCTGCTCAATAAACTCAGGAAGAGCATAAACTGTGACTGCTCATTATTGTTTTGGTATTGTGTTAATTTTTGATTGCTTCTGCCTATAATTGATTTGCATTTGTAAGCCCCAACACCTAAAAGGATTAAGAAGAATAATTTTTAGACAGCAGTCTTAAGCCTTTTAGCAATATTGGGCGCTAGGGAAAACATTTATGCCATAATCATTTGATAAGCACACTAAAGTACAACTCTCACTTCAGTGGTGGCTCTGATAGCTATTGAATGTATGCTCCAAGATATTTTTAGCTTTAGAAACCAAGTCTTTTCATATTTACTTTGATAAGTGATTTTAGCATTGTTCTCCTGAAAACACTAAAAATGCAGAGTACTTAAAACTCACTAGGATAGCACAGAACAAAATGTAATGAAGAAAACTGAATTAAAATATTGGGAAAATATAACTTTTTAAGGAGAATAGAAATACAAAAATATATTGTACTCGCATCAGATGATTTCAAGGCATTTTACAAGGATGTTCCAATAGCACCACAGAGATGAATAATACAAGTATGCAAGTTTCATTATATTTTTTTTTAAAGAAAGTGCTACCTCGGCCTAAGTCTTTGGTGTGTGGTTTTAGATGCCTAAAACTTGAGTTATAAATACAGTTTGACATCAATGAGAATTGTGTCCATTGCATTATGGATAGACATATAAAACTGTGCACTTTAAAATCAGTATCCAAAAATGAAGGTCACTTTGAGAATGTGTTTTCAAATTACAGTGTGCTAGAGGAAAATGGAAAAAAAATGAAAATTTCATTTCTGACTTTCACTTTCTAGATATTAGCATTTGCTCATAAATTTGGGAAATAGGCACAGGGCTGCCTGTGCCAATATGCTGTCCTCTACATGTGTCTTTTTCTCAGCTTCCTGCTTGTACCTCCGTGTGGGCACGAATGGAGGCACATGGATTTTATATTGAAACATTTAACTCAGTTATATTGTGTGATGAATTATGCCTAAAAGTAACTGAAAGTACGTACCTTATAGCTTAGATAACTCAGCAGCAGAGTTTCAAAGAGACTTATTAAAGCCACAGAAACCTTAAGTGAAGTGATAAAATATGTGTATTAATACTGGCTTCCAAAGAATAGATGACATTAAGCATGACAATGAAAAGTGAGGTAATAAAAACCAGCTTTTCCATGCATCCTCTGAAACCATCTCAACTGGCAACATTTAGCATGAAGCTTAAATATTGTTATTTTTCTGACTAAAGCACAGACTCTAATTTCAGTCTCATGGCTCTTTTAAAACACTCAAGAGAGCGTAGAGGGTGGCCTTTTCATGCTTTTAGAGAACTCCATATACATTCTGCCGGACTGTTTCTCAAGTTTCAGTTGTTTGTTCCTAAAAGGTACTGAGATCTTTTCACGAAACAGAGAGAAGGAAGTTGTAAATAACAGAAGCTAGTCAGCACTTTACTTTTCCATAAAGATGTCATGAATGTGTGGAAAATCAAACACTTTTCTTACCATGTATAATTTGGAAAGTTGAAAACAGCACAAATAATACAGATTAATCATTATTGATTTTACTATTTAAATGCAACTGAGATCACCTTCTGAACCTTAGATTATAACCTTACCACTTAGATTAAAAATAGTTAGTGTATGTAGTGTGTACTTTAAAAATATTTAAATCATCAAATACAAAAATAGTAAAAAAATTACTTAAAACTTTATACAAATAAAATAATCACAAACCTTGAGTAAGTCCTTTGCACAACAAATACTTGTATTTTAATGTATGTCATGGAAATATTCTGTCATGGAGATGTACAAATTCAGCTGGAGCCTGATGTCAAACAAGCTCAGGATTTCTGATTTTAAACTAATGGTCATTACTGCTGAAAACTTAGCAGAGTACATAATTTGAACTTACAGTATCATCTAGAATTAAAAAAAAGATACTCTGAATTGGAAAATTATTAAAATATGCAATCAAAATCACAGAATCATTAGGTTTGGAAGGGATCTCTGGAGATATCTCCAAGATTGGACATATTGTAGATTGTCCAATCTCCCTCTCAAGGCAGGGCCACCTAAGAGCAGGTTACCCAGGAACAGGTTTTGAATGTCTCCAGAGGGGCAGACTCCACAACCCCCCCGGCCATGGAAACAGAATACCTATTTGGAATATCTGTTTCTCCAAATAGGTATTACTGTTTTATACAAAATCAGGCTGTATCTCAAATAAAAACAAATCTCTCTTTGCAGCTATTGTATATAACCTACTGTGAATGCATGTGTATATTATACATGCATGCACATACTCATAGAATAGTTACGGCTGGAAAGGACCTTTATCAAATAAAGTTATTCTAATAAGACTGGAACCGTAGGCAAATAAATCAGTATTTTTAAATTAAATTGAATATATTAATCTGAATGTCTAGGTCAAAATTTATTCAAACTGAGCATACACTAAGCAAGGAATTCAAAGATGTTTTCATCAAGAGATTTGTCCCTTAGTAAAGTTGTGCATTACACAGAGGTACAAATCGCTGTAATGGAATTCCGCTATGCATGGTGACAAAATGTAATGGTATAACCATTCTGGAAGCTTAAGGAATTCTCAGTCAAAAAACACATTTCACAGGGAGAATTTCCACAGTGCTGTGCACAAGTAGAAAAAAAATAGTGTTCTTAAAATGAGCAGGCTTCAGGACACTGAAGACTGAACAAGAAACTTCAAAAGATATCCAACCCACAACGCACTGATGTATTGTATCTTTTGGAACATACTCCTCTAAATGTATAGGCTTCTATATTACAAAGACACTTCATATTTCTAGTTTATTTAAAAGGAAGCTCATGAAGCAATTATGAAATTAAAACTCATCACTGAGCAAACAGTGACTGTTTTACTCAACAGAGCTTGATAATTCCAAGACAGAAGGCTAATTCCACAGTATTTTGTTATAAGTATTAATCCTTCATATTCTAAAGCCATATAAATTTAAATCACTTAGCTCAACTTATCTTTATGCTTTTGTTGTACTTCGTCATCAAGTAGGTTTCTGTGTTAATATCAACTTTTGCAAGTATCCTTTAACATAATTAAAATGCAATAAATCAATATTGTCTACAGTTACTAAATGGAAAGAGTTAAATTGGCCATTTAAATATTACCTGTAATCCCCATAAAGGCAAGCTTCGATTCACCCAAATAATAGGAGACCTGTTTATTACAATGAGAAAATAAATATGAAATTAATCACAATCTGATTAATGTTTGGAACAAAATCAAGGAAGAAATTTGTACATTTGAATGGAAATTAGAGCAGCCTTATTTAAACAAATAAAAAAACCCTCAGTAATTAAAATATTTAATTAGTAGCTTTCTATTGAGCATTGACAATGCCTATATTTCTAGTCCAGAGCCAGTCATTGAGTCCCCATGGGAGTAATCCAAAACCAGTAACACCAAAATATTTTAGTGGCTATCACTGGTTGCTACTGCATGCCCTGTGATTCCAGAAATTATAAATCAGTTTGTGCTTTTGATTCTAGAGATGCAGGGGGATAATTCTTTGTGGTAGGAAAAATAAAACTGACAATTCTTTTGTTTGAACTTTCTGCTAGCTTTGCAGCAATAAAAATGTTATCTAACTCATAGGGGCTGTCATATCTTGGAAAAATCTCGTGTTGTCTTGGCATTTATTAAATTCAATGATAATAGGTACTTAATACAGTACTACTGGAATCTGGCACAGTAGTTTACTGATAATCACTTATCACTAGTAATAATTGTTTTTTAAATAAGGGCATCCATTTTTTTCAGCAAGGTACAAACACTGAGGGAATTCAGATTTTACAAGAGCATACAATCACTGAAACAATGAAAATATTAAAGGCAGTTTTGAGTATTTAGAAACACATAATTAATTGCTTGAGGACACATCACTATTGCATGTTAAAATTCCACCATTCCAGATGGAAATGGATTTGTCTTCCTGTTTTCCTCCCCTTCCCAGCATTATGTAGATTTTTGGTTTGCTTTTTAAATTGGGAACTCACCAATCAATCGCTCCAGGTGTGTAGTTTTGATTGGAACATCTCCGGTTTAATTCCTTACTGATAGTTGCCATCCCATTCATGCAAAGTCCATTTTCATTAGCAAATGTATTTGGGAACATGATTATAAAAACATATGGGAGACAAGGTTATTAATTACATTATTAATTGTTCTATAAAATGCATGCAATAGTTTGAAACCTAGGTAATGGATATAGACATGTTTTAAAGTGAAAGAACTTTTAGAAAGTTCTGCATGTGTTCTGTATTTGTAGATAAAGGACTATGAAGCATTTAAGGCTACATTCTTTTAAGATTTATTTTCAAAGGTGTTCCAATTTAAAAATAACTGAAATTATACTTTCAAAAGCTGAACTAAGTGCACAATAAATATGAAGATCCAGACAGACTAAAATTCTATGACATGGATAGGCTGGGATAGAAAGAGCACATATGCCTGCCACAGTCTCAACAGGAAAGACTGCACCAATCTACAGTTTATATCCTCTTGTGAGGATGTGAGGAGGGCTGAAGATTCATGTAGCAGTAATTCAAGTAAGAAACTGGTGATGTCTATGTAAAAAAAAATAGCTATGTATATGTGATGTTATCTTGCCTGGAATTGCTGGCACAAATCTTCCCTTCAGAGAGTCATATAAGGATGTGGGAATACATATTTGTGTAAATGATGAAAAATATCCATGTTTGTCCTGGGATAGCAAGGTCAACAGAAAAGAAAAGGATTTGCAGACCACAGATCAGTAAATGCTGTATTTTTTTACTGGCTATGAGTGGGACAGGTGCTAAATAGTATCCATTAGTAAAAATGCTTTATGTCTTAAGCTCTGCCCTGTACATCTGCTGTGCCTGGAGAAGTATATAAAAGATATTAACTTCTGCAAGCATGTCAGAAAAACAGGAAAAATATCTGCAGGGAGAGTCTGTGATGGAAAGCATTCCTCCCACGATTGTCACTTTAAAAACCAACCAGGTGATAATGTTTTCTGTGGCCATGCCCGCAGTACACTGAACAGTTTCTTTCATAAGGGTGTAACACAGCATCTAGAAAAGATTTTTTTCCATAACACTGCATTTGTAAGAATGCTTTATGGCAGTAGTTTAGGTATCAAGGTCTCAGGATCTCTATGAATAGAACCACTGACATTAGTGGGATAACATTTGGGCACAGGGATGGGTTTTCTGGCATAGACAGGTTCTAAACCTAGGGTCTCAGCATGCAGTAGTGACTGATCTGAAACTTCTGAAAAATGTTATACTGAGGTAGAACGTACTAGTCAACACATCACAAAATATCAATAAATAGGGAAAATACAAATATGGTCTCTGATTGGTGAATTGTCAAACATTTTTCCTTAGGTTGAAGGAACATGTCAGGAAAGGTCTTGGCAATTAAGTAGTCTGCAAGATGCAGAAAAATCTTTGCATATGAATACAAAAGCGCTGAAGCATACCTGTGGCAGAAGCTCTGATGCTCTAATCTGTTCTCCATATCCAAACATAACCTTGCAGTATAAAATGCTTATTTGGGCTCACTAGATTTATCTTAACAAAACAATATCAGCAACTTCTTCATGCCAGAAAATACCAATAACTAAAATTTCAAGTCTTTGAGTTGCTGTGCTACTATGCCTAAATCACTAAGGATGGATTTTCTCTTCTCCATCACTGTTAAAGGTTTTATGAAATCTTTACTGCACATTTCCTCCCTACACATTTTTTCTCCTTGAAGAATCATTCTAAGACACATGTGAGTAAAAAAATAGGTTTTCTGAAGTTCTTTTCCTGTGATTTTTTTTTTCTCCTGGCCCTTTTTCAGATGTTCTAATTTCTCACCATAAATTTTAACAAAAAAAAAAAATTCTCAAATGCATCTTCTATACCTCCCATTCACACATCCTTCTCTTATGCTCTGCTGACTAAAGCTGATATTACTCACTTTGCTTTTGATTTGATTCTTGTAAAATACAGTATTTCTCCTGTGTACTAGTTACAGTATTACTCTCCTGTGTACTAGTTACAGTACTACCTTTATCAGGTTTAACTGATTTCCAGATATTAAAATTAGAAGTCATACTTGGTCCTTTGCCTAACATTGTGTGAAGAGTGCTAGATCTATCATCCCAAGCTCAGTAATTTAATCTGTGCTTTGTTTCTTTCCATACTTAAGGCAAACAGAATCAAATCAAATGAAAGCACAGTAAAACAAGGTGCTTATGAGTATCAAAAATTGAGAAGATTCAGTATATACAGGGTAAAAATACAATTGAAGTACAGGACTGGATAAATTTTAAATATAGTTTCTTTACAATTGGTGGTTGATTGTGTTAGACATGAACAACAACAACAAAAAAAAAACAACAAAAAAGCAGAGTACCCAATGACCTATATAGAATACCTGACCCATATAGAATCCTGACACTTGTAGGTGTGCACAATCACACATTGTGACCACAGGACATCACGGGTGTAGAATGTACTTTTGGTCTCCCTCTCTTCTGCGTGTATAGAAAAAGCAGAGGGCTAGAAAATGACCATCAACGTCATCTGCGTGAAAGCTCAGTTACGTGTTTCCAGGGTTTGGGGTTTTAAGTAAAATTATTTAAGTAAAGTCTTAAAACTATTGTTGCATAAACAGGCAACCAGTTTATTTTTAATTTTATTTTCAGAAATATGATACATCGGAATGCTATGAAATAGTACTACCAAAATGTATGTTTGCACAGCTATATCTGATGCACAGCATCTGAGGAAAGAGACAAGATTATTTTAGCGGTAAAGTGAAAAAAGTATACTGTTATTTTAGTTCCTATTTAGTTCTTATTTCCATTCACAATGTAAGACTAGCTTTATAATTCTTTCAAAGACCAAATCCCTGTAGAGAGACTATCAAATGTTTATTCATTATGTTAATTTCTGATAAGCTAAACAATGCTTTGAGAGCAGAAATAAAAATTAAAAAATCCACAAATATTACCATGCAAGTCCTTGTGTAGGATCATCCAGAAGCACACGAATTATGTATAAGAAACAGCTTAGTAGCTTGAGAGAAAAATTGAATAAACGTATTCTCAGACCTATTTTTAAAAGAAAATACAGAAATAAATTCAGGTTCTCTATGGTTTCAGCCACTTTTAAAGTAAATCTAAAAAGAACTAGAATAGCTATGCTGCAACAAAGCAAAGGTTGACCTAACCAGTAACATGTCCCTGATACGGGTGACCAGCGTATCATACAGAAGAACATAAAGAATAAGACTGTCAGATACGCATATAACACATATTTCCAGGTTCCAGAAATCTCTGGGTTAAGACTCAGCCAGTTTTAATGTAAAGAGCTACTCAGTCATTTGAAAGCTATTCTATGCCATTCACCTTTCCTGATGTCATTCTTTGCATCTTTTGTAGTTTTACAAGTCCATTTTCTTAAAATGGGAACCAGAATTACATATATGGTATTTGAGATGCAAGATACAGCAATGCAAAGATACACTTTCAACCATAGGCAGAGGATATACCATGACAAGTATTTAAATATTAATACCTGAAAGTCTTCATGCAATAGATTCTCATACAGAATATGTTCATATTATCCCAACTTATAAAATATGAAACTGTAGTTATTTAATGTTGAAGTTGCATAATTACATGTCCAGGAATCAGGGCATGCATGAATGCACATGTGCATGAATACACAACCGAACTGAATCAACAACTTCTTCTATAGACTATGTGAATATTGACATTTTCTAGCTGAAAGGATATATCATAAATGCTATCACAAAATACTACAACACTTCCCAGAAACATAGGTCTGCAGCATTTGCAGGATTCCTTCAAAGGAACCGCATGGATACTTGCTTCTATCACATAGGCAATTTATTTCAGTGCTAATTGGAGCCATAATCTACTACAATGGTACTGTTGGCCTTTTGTATTTCAATCAGATTTTGCAGTCGAGGATTAAAGTTTAAAGTTTTGGTTTTGTTATTAATTCAATAGTCTTATATTTTTTGCCAGTGTAAATATTTGTATCTAACTCTTGGTTTTAAGTTTCCATTCACTAATTGAGTTAAAACTGTCAGCTGACTAAGGTCAAGCGGAGGAAGGTCTCTCTGAGCAACAATTTTTTCAGTCTGGTGAACTCAGAGTCCAATTCTGCATGGCTCAACCCTTCTGTCCAAAGCAGAATATCACTGACTGAGTCTTGCACAGATGCGGCTTCATTAGCACCTAGTCATAGTAAAGACAGTATCTTTTATTGTGGCACTGCAAGTATGTTATCAGGTCTGCTGAGCTCAATATGATTATTTCTATGCTTCAAGAACTACAGCTTCATTATGCATACCCAAAGCTGTGTGCATTCATTCTCTTTTAAGGAACAAACCATAATTATCTTATGGCAATATCCTATACTTTTTGACTTTACTCAGTCCTAAGTTCAAAATGAATGCCTTTCAGGTAAAACTGATAAATCGCCCTTCGTATCTACTAATTCCCCTCCCATTAAAACATAATATACAGCAAAGACTGAAAAATAGAAAATAGATGCCTAAATATTCCACCATACACTTGCTGAAAGATATCTTAAGGTTTATTTCACAACACTGCTTACTACCATTAACTGTGAAGTAGCAGTTATCACAGGAGAACTGGATGGGTTTTTACAAAGTCTTGAAATCTGCGAACTAGGGGTTAAAATCTTGTGGCCCTGGCCATGAGAAGTCCCACAGATGTTACTGGCAATTAGGTTTGTGAGCATTAGCCTAGTGACTCCTGCTCTCTTATCAAGAGTAATTAGCCACAGGCTATTTATTACCCAACATGATTGAAGGGGTTGAAGTAGTAAATGGGTTCAGGGTTTGTAAGGGATAGGTGAGTGTGTGGTTACGCTATTTGACTAAGAAGAACACCAGTACTTTTCTTGGACAATGCTATGGGGTTTGGGTTGTTGTCTGGTTTTGGTTTTGGGTTTTTTTTTTCCAGCTTTTTTGAACCGTTGCTGGAGAAAACATGTATTGTTTTTCTGTACTAACCCTTTTGTGGAAGTCTGCGGGACTATGAATGGTTGTCATAACAACAAGAAGAGCAGATAATGTTTAAAAACAAAATGAATGCACACCTCCCAGCCCCCCAAAAACATCTAACACCAAACTAACAAGAATAGCCCATCATAATTTCTCTTCTTTACCAGTTTTATGTTGCCTAACTTTTTCTTGGGTAAGTACAAAAGGGTGCACTTGTTTCTTCTAGGTTTTAGCTGTGTAAATGTAAAGTTTTGTGTGAAACACTTCTGCATTGATAATGGCCTGGTTTCAAATCATCATTTGCAATTATCTGTTGGATTAAATGATAAAAGAAAATAGTGCTTTTCTGATTAAAACCTACATCAATACTAAGGGACCCATGCTCCTGCTTGTTGCCTTAAAATCACTCTGAAACCTTCAATCTGAAATAGAACTACTTATGTATTCAAACAAGTTCCACAGATCTATTCCTAGCTATGCCTAAAAGTGCTTCTCCACAGGAATGGCTGTTTCCCACAGAATATAAGACAGGGTTTTCCCGACAAATGTGCTTTCATCCAACGGGTGTATTTAACATAGATGCATAGTGCATATCATGGATTGGGTTATATATGAAGTAAGGTGATATGCTAGGTTTTGTACCATATGTGATTGGGTTGGTTATTAACATGCAAATATGTAAGAAAGGCTTCAAGTCCATCCTATTTCAGAAGGTCACCTCTCCTAGTTCTGTATGCTTCAGCCTTTAGAAATAGGATGTGCTGTCAAAGGGAGCGTATTTAGTCACCCCTGTAATAAGTAATGTAGAAATACCAACTAAATGCTCCCTCTGGCTGAAATTTTCTGTAGCCTTATAGTTGGGATGTCATGTGTGAGTTGAAAGAAATGCATTTATTCCACTGCCATGGAGATCAAGGATTCCAAATATGGCAAGAGGGTACAGTCACTAGACACAAGGTATTTCAAATAGGTTTTCATTTATTACTTGCTTACAAAGAAAGTGTTTCATGTTTATGCTTGCTGGCTGACTATTTTTGTCCTCTACTTTACATGCTGTTAGCGGATCAACATGATCTGTTTGACTTTGTTTTTTCTTTTCCATTCACAGCCAGATTGTTCAAGTAGCGGGGTCATTTGCACAGAGTATGTCTATGTTTTGATGCTGGTGCCTGAAACTCGTATTCAGCTACAGTAGCCATAGACTGTTATCCAGTTAGGAATGGTTCAGTAAGATTGTCATGTAACCATGGTTTTGCATCCTTTGCCTTCTTTCGAAGAAGAAGAAATTTCTAACAGTTCAAAATCTGTTTGTTTTGTGAAATAAATATAACCATGTCAAGCATTAATGTTTCTTTGTCAGCTTGAACAAGTATTTGACTTTTTTTTCAGGCATTTTTAAGTACAGAATGATACTTTTTACTTCACCAGTACTGACTGTGACTTTCACTTTTATTATAAATTCTTGATGACTCTCTTAGGAGCATTTTAGGAGATTAATCCTCAGTTTTGAAGAGCTGATCTAAATCAAAGCAAAAGTGACAGAGGTAGCAGCTGAAGTTTTTACGATTACCTTCTGTTATTTCTCATAAATTTCTAACATATTTTTGATTTTTACCAAAATCATCTAAGTAGCAGGTGGCTTTAGGAGCTGAATCAAAATACAGTGTTAATGACTTATTTTGTGGTGATGGTTATCATTTATTCCCTCTTCACTGAACTGAAGCTTCATTTATTTTTTCCCTTTGAGACTTATTGTGGGCTGCGATAAAGCCATGTGTGATCTTGACAACTACAGACAAATCATACCAATATTTCATCTCTTTTTTTTTTTCCCCTCTCTTTATGTATATGAATATTTTTAAGTATGTGTGGTGTGGTTTTGGGAGGGAAAGTGGCTGGCTGATACCTTTGTAAAATGCTTTTCATGCGCTGATTGAAGTTAATTAGATATGTGCTGGCAGAAGACTGAGTGAAAGCTAGGTTGATATTAGATATAGATGAAGGCTTGGTTTATCAGTTTATACAAATACTTCCAGAAGCAGAATAATGAATGAACCAGTTTGTATTTCATAGAATCATAGAATAGTTAGGGTTGGAAAGGACCTTAAGATCATCAAGTTCCAACCCCCCCTGCCATGGGCAGGGATACCTCGCTCTAAACCGTATCACCCAAGGCCTCGTCCAATCTGGCCTTGAACACCGCCAGGGATGGAGCATTCACAACCTCTCTGGGCAACCTATTCCAGTGCCTCACCACCCTAACAGGAAAGAATTTCCTCCTTATAACCAATCTAAACTTCCCCTGTTTAAGTTTTAACCCATTACCCCTTGTCCTGTCACTACAGTCCCTAATGAAGAGTCCATCCCCAGCATCCCTATAGGCCCCCTTCAGATACTGGAAGGCTGCTATGAGGTCTCCATGCAGCCTTCTCTTCTGCAGGCTGAACAGTCCCAACTTTCTCAGCCTATCTTCATATGGGAGGTGCTCCAGTCCCCTGATCATTCTCGTGGCCCTCCTCTGGACTTGTTCCAACAGATCCATGTCCTTTTTATGTTGAGGACACCAGAACTGCACACAAAGCATGCTACTGGTCTGTATACGATTTAGATCAGAATAGTATTTCTCTAGAAAATTCATATAAATTCTAGAGATGACTGCTCTGGTTGACAAAACCATGGGATACTGCACTCTGATGTGTTAAATTCACTTGTGAAGTCTTGAGGATTAGCAGAAACTCCTTGGTGAACATGTGCAGTTTTAGTTATGCTATCAGAAAATTTGCTAATATATTGCCAATTATTCCCTCAAAGATAGCAATCATATTGTTAGCATATGAAGGAAGGTTTTCAGTGCTCTCACTGAATGCTAAGATCTAAAGGGTAATATTTTTATTAACTCCTCAAGGCCACTAAGCAACAGAATCCTCCAGTTTCAGTGGAGGATTGAATGAGTATACCTGAATGAGTGCCAGGTTGCTATCTTGGTGAAGGTTTTTAGAGATTGTATTTTGGAGAATTCTGGTTGTGAGCATTTGGACAAGAACCAAGATCTGTTTGACTGAACTTGCTAATTCTGAATGCTTTGGTTTGGGGATTTTTAATTATTTTCATTCAGTACAGCAATAATTGCTGTATTTCTTGTTTCTTTCTCCTGAAAATTGCCTTGTTTAATGTCTAATTGTTGGTTAAGCTTCTTGCATCATAAGAACCTGTAGCAGTGCTTGTGGGGTTGTAGTGGGAAATGCCATGCCAATGCCATACACTGCTGTACATACAGTAAGCACACTCATTTCCAACTTGTTTTCTGCAGATTGGCTCCATAATTCAACAGGAAACAAAACCTGCCTCGTATCTTAGAGGTTTTTTTCTGCCAGGAAAAGAAGGTGCCCATAGTGACAGTGTCTCTACTAGCTGTCTACAGGAAGAACTCAATAATGTGTTTTTATTTGCAAATCAATACCACAGCATGCTTCTATGAAATTTATCTCAGCTCTGTATGACATCATTGTGTAAGAAAATTAATCAAAATCTGAATTTTTCTAGCAATCATCAAGCAAGCTAAACATGAAAATTCTTGTGCTACTTGTCTATACCATGAACCCATCTCTAACAGGATGAATTAATAGCTGCTTCCCATTCTCTTTCTTATTTCAAATAAGCTTCCATATCATTCTGGTCCTTTGGACCCATATATCTCACTTACCCAATCAAAACTTAATAGACACGTCCCAGGACAGTAACTTATTACAGTTCTCTTAATATACTTAGCCAGAAGCGTATACACTTGGAAAAGGAATGGCCATGAATTCATACTGATTAACTCCCAGGTAATTTTTGTGCTGATGATCATAAATTTATCTATTTTTATACATACAGGATCAGCAGTTCTGCCATCAAAATATGTATCTGTGTATACATATTTTTTTAATCTTGCTAAGATCTAAGTAGGGAGAAAAAACTTTCACTTAAGCAAGAAGGTACTATTCAGAACCTTCCCTTCTTACAGCGAAAAGAGATTAGTGAGTCAAGTCATAACTTCATAGATGCTCTTAGTAGACAGTTTATCAAAGCCCTGTTTTGTGGACTAGATCAGAAACAAAAAGGCTAGTATTTACAGCTTTCCAGACTATTTTTCTAGACGGGACTAATACTCCTTTCTAATTTAGGATGCTTCTTTATTTTGTGTCTTACTCCATTACACACTATATCAATGATGTCAGAAGTCAAAGGCTACAAAGATATAAAACATTTAAAAGGTGTATAAAGTCACAGGGGAAAAAAGTAGAAGAGAATTAAAATCATCTGAGAAGCTGTAGTGCAGTAAGTTTAAATCTAGTTAAACTCATTTATCTCTAATGAATCACAGAATAGTTGAGATTGCAAAAAGGTAACCCACAGCTGGTTACCCAGGATGGCGTCTAGACAGATTTTTAATACTTGTTTGGAGGGAGACTCCACAGCCTACATAAATAACGTGTGAGCAAAAATTTATTCTACGCAAGCACAGAGTATGAAATTTTTCTTCATGCATGTCCTTTATTCTATGCATACTGAGGCTTTATGCAGTAAGAGAGGTCTCAAGTGTGCTAATACAGAATAAGAAACTTATTTCAAATAAAAACATCTTAAGAAATAGTATCTCTTGCAAACAGGAGATCTTATGGCCTGTCTTTTTTTTTTTTTCTTTTTTTCTTTTAGGTTATCTACTCTCCCAAATTTTGTTTATCTGAGGGATTTGTTTAGATTGGGATACCAAAAAAGTAGTTTGTTCTTTTCTCCCTTCTGTTCTTTCTCTGACACAGAGCCATGGACCCATCTTAACTGTATTACAAAGGCCAAAATATATTTTTTTCTATTCCAAAAGCTTTATGTATGAAACCATTGTAATTTGAGTTCTTTACAAGTGTAGGACAAATGGAGGCAAATTCAATCCTGCTACATGGACATGAAGGAAAATTTAAGCCAGTTGCTGCTCTTCCCTAGCTATGAACTCCACTGGTCTAATCAAGATTTGATAATATACCATACTTACATCTGCTTGGACAAGCTGCGTGGATGTATTTAAAAAGATTAATATCTTAGTCCCTCCATATTAATTTCCTATATCATGACCTATGGTATGTTCAGGAGAAGGAGGTACGTTCTTCCCATTAATTTCCTTTCCGAATCGTGGGGGCTGTTTTAGTGGAGATCAATTTAAAAATTTCTTTAGGAATACTTAATGAAACTGAACACTTCAAAAACACTAGGTACTTCTGCAGCTTTTTTCCCTCCAGTATCTTGGAGACTATTTGATTTCCTAGTCATAAGGTCATGACTTGTCAATAAGCATTATAATGTCACATCCATGCAAATTAGTCAACTTGATCACTATACAGAAGTAAAGCCATGTTACTAAGTATTTGAGTCTACAAAATAAATACATTCTTTTTAAGTTTAATACTTTCTGAATTTGTTTTGGATATTATGTAAAACTGAATCCTCTATGGGATAAAATTTTAGCTCAGAAGAAAATCAATAACTTTGCTGTTGCCTTCAGTGGAAATGGATTCTACTCAAAGTATCACAATTATGCTTAACAGAAATTAATCCAACTGCTTACTTGATCTTTGGTTTTTGATGAAGAAGAGCTTTAGTCTCTCTTTAAATGTATTTTCATTCATATAGAATTCAACTTGCACCCTGAAATATAAAAGGAAGTATTAGAATTGAATATTAAAGATAAGTAATTTTTTACATTTTCTCTAGTTATTTGTTCTTTATATAAAACTGGAGGAACAAAGAGAGAGTATTCAGCCAAAACCTCACTGAATTTGAATGACTGATGTTGGAAGGTTAAAAAACAAACAAAAAAAAAAGGCAAAAAAACCCCTTATCCCCTTTACATGCAGAATCATTTTCTTGTTACTTGGACACTTTACATTTCAAAATCAGAAGCATCTACATTTTGGTATTTTTGTTGGAAGACTGTTCTGTCTGCATCTTGTAAGGAAAATTTCCTTCATGTTCAGGTTAAACCTCTCATTTTAACTTCCTTCCTGAAAGAATTGGATTTTGATGATGATTCTTTTTTCTGTCATGTTCATATCTCCGTTAAGCGTTCACTTGCTTGTGTCCACCATTAATCAAATGCCCATGCACCAAATAAACCCCCTTTCTGAATTTTGCTTTTGTCACAAGGAAATACTGAGGCTTGAAAACAAAATTATGTTGCAGTCATACAATATTATATAGAAAATAACCCCCTTATTATATTAAAACAACAGTAATATTTTTACTCTTCCCTTCCCCCCAGATCTGTCAGAATGTATTTCATGTTTCTGTCCCTCAATTCAGTCTGAGTATAGCTCATGCAATAGTTCTACAGACTAGAAGAGAGAACTGTTGCACAGGCTGGCAAGGGGAAATGATGTGCAATAGTTATATAGAAAGATAGGCCATTCCAGAGCTATGAAGCTGCACTGCTTGCTATAGGATAAGTACAGCATCAGTTCCATTTCCCCTGAAGACCCTGCTCTACCCAACTGGCTCTCCCTCACCAGTCCCAGCACTCCTCCAGCAATGAATCACTTTCCCCAGCACAGTTTTGGTGTCTTCCCGAGAAGTCAGTCCTCACTTAGAGAACTATTCTACTGTTGCTGAAGAATAAAGCGATACCACAAAAGTGAGTTACTCCCTTATGGCTTGCTTTCTCTGTACACCATCATGTGTTGCAAAATTGCATATACCTTTTCTGTGTGTAGGCATACTTGCCTTTATCTCCATAATTCTTTTCAGCAATCTTTCATCAAATGATTCTACTTCAGTTATTTATTCTTATCTGTACCAGTAGTATTTTGCAAGCAGGATCCTAACTTTAGTTTTTCCCTTCTTGCTTGTGAAGCCTTTGCTGAAACAATTTTTGGATAATCTAATGTTATCTATAGTCTCTCTCTCTTCCCCTCAAATACTCGTCTAATACTACATATTTCTGTACACTTACAGAATTGGAGGATTATTTAATTATGGGCCCAGAATGGATGGCATCTCAGGCAATGTAACTTTTTCATTTTTGCTTATTTACTACCAGATGCTTAGGCATATCACTTTGTAGAATAGGGTCAGCATGTCATAAAAAAAAAGGCTTTCTATGACTCAGGGAGGTCAGTTAATTTTAGCTAGCCATTTAGCTTTGGTGTGGTTTATCGTAGTATTCCTTGTAGAATGGAAAATTACACTGCTTTCTTTGCAGAGGAAGGAAAAACATAACCTCTGTATTGGAACTAAGCTCTAAGCTTACAGAACTATATATTTATTTCTGTGCAATGACATGTTTGACACAGTGGTTAGAGCAACCCCTACCCTAGATCATCTTTTCTGCCTTATTTTGTTCACCCCACTGTGACAAGATCTTAAAGCAGCTGGAATTAAAAGAGGACGAACCCACCTGCCCTCTGCTTTAAATGGAGAGTAGCTCCAACTGTGTATTTCAAACAGCTTGGACACAGAGGAATGTCCTAGAAACTGCCACAAAACCAGAGGAAAAGCCCATCAGATGAAGAGCAGCTTGTTTCTGGGCTTTTTCTGAGCTTAAATATAGACTAAGTGTTGCGCTGTTCAAGACTGCAGGAGTCACTGCCAAATAACAGAAGCAGCACAACTTAGCTGGTAACCTTAAGGGAAGTTAAGGAAGCATAACCAGAGGTTAATCACTAGGTGAGCAGGTTTGTAGGGCCCTGAGCTCTGCTTCAGTTCTTTTCTGTACATTTCCCAAGGTACTTACTATCAATGCAGTGACAGTTTTAGTGAGAAATCTATCCCATCATTTGGCAGCTGCCACATGCTAAGTGTATATACATAATCATCAAGGACATATTTTAGTAGGTAAGCAAAGTGGTACAAGCTATTGAAGTAAGGGATGTTTTTAAAAGGTGCACTGTATCGGTGATCTTTTTTACACATTTTAAACTAGTCTCTCAGATTTTTCAGTCAGAAAATTACAATAGTCACTTATCATGAAAGAACAACATGTTAACAGTAAGCCATCATTTAATGATAATAAGGAAAGAGGATGTGGGAGCTAATCACCCTCCTATCACTACCATTCTGAATTGCTCTGATAGCCTTTTAACAGCTGTCTACTTCTCTTTTCTTAGCAACCTGTGCTCACAGCAGACTAGGATTCCACAGTGCAGCAGTTTCCATGGCAAAATGGATTACGAATGCTGCTAATACCACTTTTGTGGCTCAACTCCTCCTTCCCCTGACTTTTTTAAACTTCGGCAAAAACTGTGTGGGGCTTCTACATTTGCAGGAAATGCATTATTGTGTATGTATAACCACGTAAGCTTTCATAATAAATGATACAGACAGAGAATATTTCACTTTGTTTCTTAAAGGTTACTATTTACCAAGTAAAGCTAGGAATGAAGGAGCCACTGGCAGAGAAAAGGACAGAAACCTCCAGATACTATTCCTTTCCAGTATTCTGCTTTTGATTTTTACAGAGAAAACTCATTCTACTTGAACATTTGCTTTAATCTTTTAATAATTAAAATTTTACTTATTTTATTTGCTTTTTTCTGTATTTTTCCCACTATGAATTGTAACTTAAAAGAGGAGTATGTTGGGAACATAACAGAAACTCTGATCCTTACTGAAAATGCACAAATATATGGCTAATGTACCTGTGGCAAAATCAACTGAAGTTATGATTCGCTTGAAAGCACGGTGTGCTTTTGGTTCTTTTAACCTTCTTAAAATTAAATTCCACTAATAGTAGTCTGCCCTAGTTTAAACCCAAAGAACAGTGATGTCAATGGAATCTTGCAAACTGCAAGAAGCACCTTGAAGTACACGAAGTACAAGTATACATTGCACTCTTCTAATTCAGTCAAGATGTAACTTGAGTAGTGCATTTTAATGTAATACAAAGTATAGCAGGAAAATACTAATTCATGCCAAGGACACTAAATGCAAAGCACTTCTCGTGACTTTAAATAACTGGGACCGATCTGTCTGCACTCCAGTTACTTAACTAATTTTGTCTGCATTTTTTCCATTGCTATTTACAATGTCATCCTAACTCCATAGCCATGTTTTCCTATAGTAACAATATTACCTTGCACGCTCAGATCTACAAATTGTCTTTTGTGTTAGAAAATAGCATATTTGGCTAAATTAATCCTTTAAAAAATGAAAGTATAATTGGATTTCTCACTACATTCATGCAAAGAGCTGTAAATATTTATGTTGACTACTTCCTTGATATCAGAATCAAGAAAAATTGTTAATTGTACAAATAGAGCCAATCTGCAGAAAAGCACATCAATATAAGTCCATCTTTATGGGAGGGGACATTTCATGTTTTCCTACAAAAAAGCGCCTTGTAATAAAAAAAAGGGGGGGTTTTTTATTGTGATTTGCCAATCCAATATATGTGAAATCCTGTTAGATTACAAACCTGAAAGTTTATTATATAGTGTGTAGATCAGTGCTTAGAAATTAAGCATTTGAAGTGCTGAAGTGAGCTGCTATTGTTAGAGCTTATTTTATATTAAAAAACAAGAAAATGGGCATTTTTTTTCTCATAGCTTTTAATAAAAGATGAACATATTTTAATGATGGCTGTCTTGCATAGCAACTCTCAAAGTTTTGCATGTTCTGAAGCACTCAGAACTCTCATTTATTTAGAGCTTCACAGAAAAATGGTCACTTGATTTTCCAGGCCTGCTTATTCTGTCAGAATCAATGACAGATCAAGACCACTTGTTGAATGATAACTTATCATATCGTGCTGAAAGAAATGGATGTAAGACACTATTTTTCCATTACTGGTTCTTAACTTGGGGAGTCCTTCTGTTTGTTTCTGGGAGGAAATCAGTAGTCATCAGTTGCACAGATCATGATGAACGCTGACCAGATGAAGTTCTGAGTTTTTTACTTTGTCTCCATGCTGAATGACTGCACCCCAAAACAAATGGCAGTAATTGTGGAAAGGAGGGTGCTTCATCCTTCCCTGTGCAAAGGAAGGGTGCTTCCAATCAGTGTTGCCTCCCATTGACTGGAAGGACAGAAAAGATGCTATTTAATTTGCAGCATCCTAATTTGGTACTCTATTCTTGCAGTGAGAGCGGGATATGAGAGAGTTGTGGAGATCAGTGTCTCAACATTTTTCTGGGTACTTTAGGACATAGTCTTTAAAAGATACATTGCTACTGAAGCTGTTTGCCAATCGCTATGCTGATAAAATCTAACATTTGCAATATGACACTGCATTTTTTTAAAGATGAATTCTAATAATTGTAGAATAATTACAACTGACAGGTATAAGGTCCTTTTCTTATAGGGGATTTTATCTGTTTATTACAAATAAACCAGTTAATATTTTCAAGATCTCTGCAGAACTGTGCTTGTGCAAAATTATCTTCTAGATTCTTTTAATATCTAATGTTGTGAATGTACATAACAGAACACAGGTTCTACCCCTTCTAACACTTGCCTTGTAGCGTGCCACCTATTAACCTCTTTATTTTTCCAAACTAAATTCTTGCAGTACTTCTCTAGAACAACTTATGCAGTGTAACTGTCTGGTCCAAATTTCAGCTGCCATGTAACAGACCTGTTTGGTCATCTTAATACTTACAGTGTATGCTCTGACATCTGTTCCTGGGTGTTCCTTTTGTTCTGCTCTTTCTATGTAT